GACTGCGCAGGTCAGAGATGTCACATGTTTCTAATTTATGGCTAAACTCTTGTAGCATCTATTATTTGAATTAGGTAGATATAAGTTACATTATTTAAGAATGTGGATTCAAAGATATTGATGTAATGTAATGATTTAGGCGAGTGTTTACATTTCGAATAATGTCATTATTAAGATTTTAATGCATATTAGACAAACGAGCATCTTCACAAACTTACAAACGCATAGAATATTGTAACTTGTACTCACCAAGATAATCGATGTGGAGGTGGAAGCGATTGAAATCAAACGATTATGTGGCAGTCGGTCGAGTCAGGGAACCTGTTTCTCTTTGTCGAGGCAGGGAACCTGTTTCTCTTTGTCGACCAGTTTTATTTTTGACGTTGTAGTAGATCCTATCTGATTGGACAGACAAGACTTCTTTCTTTTTATGTACCGTGTCCTTTCAGGACGTAGGCTATTATGGCTCTCCACTTCTCTCTATCTTTGCATCTCAAAATAAGTTTCGTTCCTTTGCCACCTCCCGCAGACTACGTTCTGTCATCCACTTGCTTAAGCCCGCCAGGTATGTCATGCGTTGCTTTCCCTTATCTCTCTATCCCTCTTATTCGACCTATGAGTATCAGATTCTCCAGGCCCTCATTACTTGTCCCAGAAATTTCAGCTGTATAAGCTTCCTCCTTGTTTGCATCCTCTCCAAGACCTCATCATTGCTCAAACTCTCGTTCCATGATAACCTCAGCATCCTCTTGTAGAACAAATCTCCGTCGCCTCGAGTCTCTTCTTCATCTTTGAGGAGACTCCAACATTCGCTGCCATAAAGGAGGACAAATGTCACGTGACAGCCCAGTGCTATTTTCTTTGTTACCAAAGAAATCCTCCCGTCGCGAAATACACTGCTTAGCTTTTGGAATGCATCTTTGTCCATCCCAATACGTCTACGGATGTCAGCATCGCATTTATCGTGCTCGTCAAAACACTTCCCAGATATTTAAGTTTCCACACATGCTTGATTTAATGTCTCCAACCTGCAGATCGCATTTCGGTTGCATTCTTTTACTGGTGACCATGCATTTTGTCTTCTTTTAGTTTATGCTTAGTCCATTCTTCTCGCTCTCCTTCGCTATATTCTGTAGGATGTCTTGTAATTTTTTTCCCGTGTCTTCTATCAGAACTGTTTGATCTGTGTATCTTGTTGTTATAATTGTGGCCGCCAATTCTGAATCCCGGTAGGATTTTCAATTCTCTCAGAATTGCCTCGCTGCATAGTTTGAATAGATCCGGGGAGAAGACACATCCTTGCCTTACACCCCTATATATTTTTGTATATTCGCTGAACACGTTCTCTTTGCGCATGCATGATATTTTCTGCCAGTATAGGTTCTTGATTATTCTAATATCTTTCCGAATATATCAAGGTCGCTGATCAGTTCCAATAGATCCTTGTGTAGTCTATGAAAGGCATTCGACAAATTACGCCACAAGGATCTGCTCAGCAACCTTGATATATGACACTACAAAACATTTAAATGAGACCTCCTGGAAAGCTCAAAGGAAATCCCTTTCATCTTCCAGTTATGTTTTGTTAAGTCTGTTAGTCTGTTACTACGTTATACTGTTACTATTACAAGGGCAGTCGTTGGCTGTAAGCAATGAGTCTATTCGTCGCAATCTCAAACTATTATTATCCGCGATTGCAGTGACGTTCTGCTACAACAAGCAAGATATCTATATTTTTTCCTACTTTCACGTCGAGTTTCGGGTACAAGGCTCCTGAGTTGCCTAGCGGTCCGAGGTATTCCCTCCCCAATCCGTCAACATAAAAAATTATCTACGATTTTAATGTACGTGACACATGTCTGACCAATGAGAAATGACCCAAGCAAAAAATAAAAATAAAAACAAGTAAAATAATTTAATCCAAGCAAATGTTATACAAATTAGCAAACCCCTCCCACCATAACAATCGTTAGAATAGACGAAAAAGAATAAATAAGAATAAAAAATAAAAAATAAAAAAAATAAGTAAAAATGATAAATAAATTAAATAAAAAGATAAGTAAATAGTAAATAAATTAACAAAGCACTCCCGCCAAAATAACTGTTAGAATAGACTACAACAATCAATCCAAAAAAATGAACGAAAAAATAGCTATAATTACCTTCCCAGACCATAAAAATTACTATAAAAACAATTAGAACGCATCTAAAAAATTCTTACTACGTTACTTAAAAATCGAAAACCGAAAAAGAAAAAGTAAATATAAAATATATAAAATAAATATAAAATTAAAAAAAAAAACAGGTAAAATAAATTAATCTAAATAAATAAATAAATAATAAACAAATTAACAAACGGCTTCTGCCAAAATATCCGTAAGAATAGACTGAAAAGAATAAATAAAAATGAATAATCAAATAAATATTGTAAATAATAACAAACCACTCCCGTCAAAATAACCGTTAGAATAGACGACAACAATCAATCCAAAAACTGGACGAAAAAATAGCTTTAATTACCTTCCCAGACCAAAACAAACTACTAAATAAACGATGAGAACTCATCTAAAAAATTTTTACTACTTCACTAAAATATCGAAAACGGAAAAGAATAAATAAACATATATAAAATAAAAGTAGACAAAAAAAAAAACAAGTAAAATAAATAAATTCAAATAAATAAATAAACAAACCACTTCCGTCAATATAAACGCAAGAATAGACTACCCACAATGCACCATTGACCCGTATATAGAAATAGTGACTAAAAACCCCAACACATGTAGCCGGATGATTGCCTCTAACATAAAACAGTCTGTCGCCTCTGAGTGTTGACTTCAATCTTCACTTTTATATTTACATACATTCTGTCTCAGATATTAAGCACTTTATCCCATATATATAGCACACGTCAAAACTATATCGTCATATATATATATATATATATATATATATATATATATATATATATATATATATATTGCTAATTGATTCAATGTATGATTATCTCTTTATAATATAAAATATATGCTGCCTAATATAATACGTTTATGAAAACAATTGATCCGCAGTACGACATATCACTCGATTAATTGAACTGTGTACTTAGTTCATGCCACGTTAACTGGAAAACACGTACAACAAAAGAATTCGTGGATTTACCAAATTACAAAATTCCTATAAAAAAATCTCACTTGAAATATTAGAACTTTAGCGTTGCATCAATATTGTCTCTTTATAATACAAAATGTATACATACATACATATATATATATATATATATATATATATATATATATATATAGTCTAAATATATATATATACATATATATATATTCAAATAATAGGAAATAAGTCATATTTATAATTCAAAGTTCTATATTATAGTTTATACACACACACACATATATATATATATATATATATATATATATATATATATATATATATATATATATATATATATATATATAATCTTGCATTATTCTGTTTGAAATGGCGGAAAATATATATACAAATGACTGATATAATTGTTTTAAAATAGTTCTTCAAGTTTCTAAACGTTTTTGAGATATGGGTCATTGAATACCAACTGCATTTCAACGGTAATATTATGAACTGTGAAGTTATTTTTTTCATTGTAAACGCAACTACCCTGAATGATAAGCGGTTTTCTATCGTCTGATTGAGCATGTGCATCAAATAACAAATTAATATTAAAGCTATGATTATTTGAAACCATAAAAATTATGCTAGCATAACAAAGCAACATTTGGTCTAAAATTAGCAGATTTGGATTATTATATACACTGCAATAACATTAATCAAAACATTAAATATATATGACGTCTGCATGAATGAGAAGATCAAATGAGCGGGAAGGGCCAACACAACACCGCCAACTCAACAGCGCTGACTAATAATTAATAATAAATTAATTTTATTCGGTTATAAACAAATTATATTTTTTTCTGGTGCTGATTTGTCTCGGTCATGAGTTCGGCAGGTGTTGAGTCGGCGGTGTTGAGCAGGTGTTGCTGAGTTTTTCTGCACCCCAAAATTATTATAACAACATATAATGGATATCAACATAAAGTCCTCTATTCTAACCCAGATTCTCATTCACAATAGATTTAAGTAATGCATAACTGTTTCTATACTATACCTTTTATATTTCAAATTGTACAAGTTGGTGCAAGTATTGTTAATACAGCGTACCAAGTAACCCAAATTTCAGTGTACCAACCAGTCATTCCCAAACAGATTTGTTTACATTGCATTCCAAGAAAAATAATTATGAGAGAAGTTGACTGAAATGCTTTATATATACTGTTTATTACTTACTTATTCAAACATAAACTACACATTCATCAACATCACATTACAACATGACTTTTGTCAAAGTGAAAAAAAATTACGTAACAGACATTGGGAAACATTTCATGTTCACTGTACATGTCACTTCCTTTTCCGCCTGCTCTTCGTTCAGTTAATAAAAGTAAAAGCTGATTATATGATTTGCATGAATGAGCACCAACAACCACTTGTTAAACAACTGGTTACCATTTTAGCCCGAAGTTACAAAACAATTTTCATTAGTAGTACTTACTTCAGAGCCCGCGTTAATTTGAATTTTGATTGCGGAAGATTATTTCATAAAATTAAGTTAAAAGTAGGGCCTACAGGTGTTTGGAAAAATTAAGCAGATCAATCTGTTGAATGTAGCAATGCTCCCCGATGTGTATATTTACATACGTGTTTCTCTAAAGATATATATTTAAATATATTTAATATTGATAGATTAATTTATTTATATAATATTTTTTATTTCTGAATTATTTATTTACTTATATATGTGACGCCTGCATGAATGAGAAGATCAAATCAGCCAACACAACACCGCCAACAGCGCCAAGATGTGTTGTTTTTTTATCAATCTTTACGTATAGTAGCATATATATATATCGTTAGCTAGGTAGAGAGCTAGCTTGCTCTCTCAGTCTATCTATCTATCTATCTATCTATCTATCTATCTATCTATCTATTTATCTCAGTCAGTTCATATCTCTATGTACGTCTCTGTCTAACTATTTCAGTCTGTTCATAAATCTAGCTATCTACTAGCTAGCTAATCCAGTCTCAATCTGTCTATCTATCTATCTATCTATCTATCTATCTATCTATCTATCTATCTATCTATTTCATTTTTTCATATCTATATGTCTATCTTATTGTTTAACTTTCCTCTCTGTCTCACCATTCTTTCTTTTACTCTCTTTCTCATTCGTTTTCTGTCACTTGCATTTTTCGTTAAATTCTTTCAATCCGTGGATCGACTTTATACTTAATATTTTCCTTTCATGTATATAAGGATCTATCTACGCGATGTGTCATCCATCTATTAATTATCACCTATCTTTATTCCTAAACTTAGCCTTCTATCTCGTTGTTATCCTTACTATAAACCAAATACTCCTCCCATCAATGCATAGCTTAACGCAAAATCCACGCCTATCGCTACAGGTAAAAAAATAAAAAAAATATATAAAGGAAAATATAAATAAATGTGTGGGGAAGTAAGTCTTCGTTTAAAAAATGGAGACATTAATCATACAATGAAATTGCCGCCTCTCCAGGCAGAATATAAAATAACACTAAACGCCCCTCATTTTTTCCCTTAGATTCTGTGTTTATTTCGGAATAAAAAAAATGGGAAAAGAAAAATAAATAAATAGATGGCTTTCGCCTGGGAGCCAGGAAAGTCTTTGGTTGATTAAACCGAAGAATAAGCAAAGATTAGATAGCAAACCAACGAGGACTTCTTGGTTTCCAGGCGACAAGAAAATAAATAATAGTTAGCCCCTAGCGACTAAGGTAAAATAATAATAAAATAACACAAGTGCGCATGCGTAAAGATTCATACACTTAACATATAAAGGCGAACTCTTACAAAACCAATGGAACTCTCTAACTTTATTTTCTCTATCCACACACACACACACACACACACACAAAACACACACACGCAAACACACACACACACACACACACACACACACACACACATATATATATATATATATATATATATATATATATATATATATATATATATATTTTTTCTCAGAAATGCACAAAGTTAAATATTTGGGGATTCAATAGAGATAGAGAAAGATTCTGTTGCGCCAAACACCCTCTTAATGATAGACTGCTTCTCATTTTTTCAAAGCAACTTTTGATAATTTTTTACAAAGTCGCCTCTGGAAAATACTCAAAATTCTTTTTTTTTTCTCCAATGAAGCTAATTTTCATTATATGAGTAGAATAGTTTTCTTTTTTTTTGTTTTTTGTTTGTTCTTTTTAAGTTATTCTAGCTGAAAATATTTTGCAAGAAAATATTTTCTAGGAAAATAGTTCCCAGAAATTATCACCCAGTAATTTATAACACTCCTAAAAATTTGATTTTTCGCCCTTTGTTTCCATTATTATTAATTTTTTTTTAGAGAATACACATTTCTTCCCTAAATTAATGGCAAACTGTTCACCTGCTAGTTTTTAGTACAATCACACTGTTATAAAATATGCAACATCTGAATAGCCTGATTGATTTAGTTTGTATTTAGAGCTTATGGAGAGAAATTATTTTTAGATTGTAAGATTTTTTAACAAAATAATAATATTACGAATAAAAGTCATATTAATTTACCCATAGCTGGAGGAAAAGTGTTGCTTTCCCAAAGGTATTTTTGCATAAGCGGATATAAGTACTTCGAGTGGAATTGGAGATCGGCTTTCTGACTTATCCATTACGTAACCCGTAAATCTAAGCTTAAAATACCCGGTGTTTCCAAACGGCCATCCTTCTCAGTAATGACCAGACACGGTGTCTAAACGTTATATGTTCGTAAACCAAATGAATACATACGCATTCACATATTGTCAGTCAGTTAAGTGTCATATGTTATACACGCTTGGATGATCATATCTTTTGATTCATGATTGACTAGGCAGAATATCTTCCCGCAGCATGTTACTAATTCTTTCTGCGGTAGACCGGTTGCCAACCAAGACTGTAAGACCCAGTTTGACCTACTATTCAACCCATAGCTAGAGGGAGGGAAGGGATGGATTTATACCTTTCCTAAGGGATTTTGCATGTATATGAATGTAAAAAAAAACACGGCTGGAAATCGAACTCGTTTCTAGGTTTTCTCATTCCGAGCCATCATCCATCGCAGTACAAGAAACATCTACATATTACGTAGTGTAAAAACGCGTATGAAATTGAAGATAGACATAACATTTAATATTAGGGAAAATTGAACCAATAAGACTAGTTCGAATTTTGGTGGATACTGTTTATATTAACTTGGCACTAATGCCTATGTTAATACGTTTAAAAACAACTTCAACCAAGATCAGCCTAGTCAAAAAGTAATTTGACTGGGCAGATCTCAGGTTTAAGCTGTTTATGGCATATCTAAAAATTTATCACAGGGGAGTGTATATGCATGAATACTTGAAACTGTGTCAACACGAACAAAGTGCAATTAAATCCAGCTACCTTCTCATATATATATATATATATATATATATATATATATATATATATATGTTATAACAATTGTTGTCTTTTCAAATATATTCATAAATCCATAAGCTTATAATAGTCATCCGTGAAATAGAACAACAATAGAACAATAATAACTGAAAAAAAATACATTTAAAATGCCGTCATGTATAAAAACATAGAACAACAGAAAAAAAAAACTTAGTTATGAAAGAAAATGAGAAATAAAAGTAAGGAAAATGAACTTTAATAAACAAGAGACAAAAAAGGGAAATAAAATAAAAAAAATAAACTAGATTAACTGCAAATAACAAAAGATATTAGATAAAAATGAAATAAAATACCAAGAGAAGGAGACAAAGAATACAAAGATTTCTCACCGGAGGAAAATTAAAGAAAAATGAAAACTACAAGGAGGAAATTATACATAGTCGTTTAAACGAGCGAAAATATAAGAAGCGAGACAATAAATAAAATCCATGAACGAATAACAATAAAAAAGAGAATAAAATGGAGAGAAGGAAATCAGAACAAAAAATCAGAACAAAATGGAGGATAAAAAAGGATCTTACAAATGAGAAACAATATTAAGCAACGAAGATAAAATAATAAAAGGTCGATCATACGAGGTAAAATGACGGTTATGAAATTCAAAAATCCATGAAAACGCAGAGAAAGTAATACCGACGAAAAACGGAAGAAAAAGAAAATTGAAATGTAACAAAATGAAGATCCCAACTAAAGGAAATACATAATATGCCTTCATGCACAAACATATTTCGCTATTATCATATCTGGCAGATTGAGGGCACATGAATTATATCTTTCTAAGATTTTTTATCCAGTTCGACCTTATATGAGTCAAGATATCGGACTTTGATTAAATAAGTATTGTTGTATCTCGATCTGAATTTACTTAGTCTTCTTTTTGGCCAGGTGTATATCCTTGAAGATAAAAGATGAGCCATATATTAATTATTGTTATGTTACATCTCCATCTGAATTTAGTTAGATCTCTTTTTTGACCTTGGAGACATGAGTTCTATTTTTTAAATTATAGTATGCCCAAATGCTTCAGTGATTTGCTCTTATTTCTATCAATCACATTTTGTAGTTTAAATTCTTCAATTTTTGTTCGTGATATTCACAATAGTCCGTAGTGTAGTCACTAGGTCTGTAGTTACTGTTTATTTGCTCGGCACTGCCAGGTCTTGGTCATATGATCTGCAATCTATGCCCGCAGGTTACATCACCTGGTTAATACCTCCTTCAAGAATTTAATTATCGTGGCTCATATGTTCTTGGTCAATATATGCCCTCGAGTGAGTCGACTGCTGAGGAATGGGCGTTTTTTTTTGTTTGTTTTTTTTTTATTAATTTCGCGAATATAACTGGTCATAACATTTTCCCTGGAAATAGCGATAGAGTAGTGATAGGATGATGACATAGCGTGTGTAAGAAAAGGGTTGCAGGGAAGAAAACAATATATCACCTCACAAGGTTGCGGAAACGCCTTTGAACCCTGTCAAGACTGGAAGGTAAATATTACTCAGCTCCAACCTAGATATAAAATGTAATATTTTTATCTTGATCTGACTCTTGTGAAGATAAAGCATGACAGGTGCAGAGTCAGGTACACTATAGAGCGGTATGAGGGACCGACCATTTTTCCAGTATCTTTGAGGATCATCGTACATAGGAGTTCCACTTGAAGTTTGAGGATACATTGAGTAACAATAGACGTTCAAAACAAAGTTTCTCTTAGATAGATAGATAGATAGATAGATAGATATGAATAGTCTGCGACATATATATATATATATATATATATATATATATATATATATAGATAGATAGATAGATAGATAGATAGATATGAACAGTCTGCGATAGATAGATAGACAGATAGATAGACAGACAGACAGACAGACCGACAATTAAATAGACAGACAGAAAGACAGACAGACAAGCAGACAGACAGACAAACTTATAGATAGATAGACAGATAGATAGATATGAACAGTTTGCGATAGATAGATAGATAGATAGATAGATAGATAGATAGATAGACAAGTAGATAGACATGCAGAAAGACAGACAGACAAGCAGATAGATAGATAGATAGATAGATAGATAGATAGATAGATAGGCAGTCAGATAGATAGATAGATAGATAGATAGATAGATAGATAGACAGACAGACAGACAGAGAGACAAGCAGATAGACAGACAGAAAGACAGACAGACAAGCAGATAGATAGATAGATAGATAGATAGATAGATAGATAGATAGATAGATAGATAGATAGATAGATTGAGAGAGAGTATGAGTGAGAGAGAGAGGGAGAAGAAAATGGATATAGAAATATCGTGAGACATATATGAGGTGGAATGGGTGAGAAATAGGAAAAAAGCGAAGTAAAATGAACCAAACACATTTTGATTTCATTTAACCAATTAATCGTTCGAGAAAAAAAATGATCGAGGTATGATGATTGTTTCTTCTCCGTTTTCTTGTCTTTCTCTCTATTTCACTCTCTCTTACATCTATCTTATGTGTAAGTGTGATGTGAGAGTCTTGCGAGACCACGTTTATAAAGACAGAGAGATAGATGGAGAGAAGTGAAGAGAGGAAGAACGTCTGTTTGAATGGGGAAGAGGCAGAGTGAATGAATGAGAGAGATGAGTGTGTAAATTACCGCAAGGTAGTCAGCGAGTAAGGGAGTAACAGTAAGAGAGAAAGAGAGAGGAAAAACAAGAGTGAGTGGTTTGAAGTAATTTGTGAAAAAAACGAAATGAAAGAAAAATTGTTAGTTTTTATAAACTCGGAAAGTGCTCTCTTCTCTCACACAAACAAACTACGCGTCTTGGGTAAGACGATAAACTACATCCGTTTCCTGGGTAAGACGATAAACTACATCTGACAGCAAGGCCTTTGATCAGGAGGTTTTAAGGATCGTAGAACCACCTTTTAATTGCTGGTGTTCCCAGGTGCACCTTGACCCGGGGTGGTAGTACATGTTCGGGTCCTAGCTATGGGCATATAGTTAACCCACAAACTGTGGTCAAAACACTATGAAAGTGTAAAAATAGCTTTTAATACCAGTAATATATTTTGGAACAATTATTATCAACAATAAATTTTCGAAGAAAAATTATTACCAGCAATACATTATTAATAGCAATACCTTTTTGGAAAAAATATTATCAGCAATATATTTTTGAAGAAAAAAATATTACCAGCAATATATTTTTGTAAATGAAAATATTACCAGAAATACATTTTTGGGAAAGATATTACTAGAAATATTTACTGAAAAAAATATTACCAGCAACAAAAATAATGCCGCCATTAAATAAACCATTAAGTTTGATATGCCATAAACCAAACCAAACCAAACACACTATAACCTAAAATTTAAAGAATAAGCTCAACATTCATATACTGAATACATTTAAACTTTACTATCGCTGGGATATTTCTACAATTCGCTGACGCCTGTTGAAATCCTTAAAGGATTCAGTATTGTTGAAGTCATCACTAACGTTTTTGTCGAGATTTACAAACTTTAAGTTACGTTCAATTTCCCAAACTAAGCGATGAAATTTTAATAAGCTGATTTATTTGGTAAAATACTTTGACAAAAATCCTACTTCGGGGTTTTTACGCACCCTAGTAAACTGTATTTTGTAACCCCTCACATGTTTACACTTCTCTCCAAAATTTGGTTTCGATCTCTCATTGGATAGCTATTTTAGAGTGTGCGACAGACGGATTAACGGAAGTCACAGATTTTTTTAATATATTTATTATTATTATTATTATTAGTAGTAGTAGTAGTAGTAGTAGTCGTTATAGTAGTAGTATTTGATTCTAAGCTAAGCTTTATTCTGTTTATTGAAAAGTAAACTCTGTAGCAGTAGAGGGCAAATTAGTTCGTAAATTAAGGTGAAGTTTCTTCTGATGTCGATGTATCTATGCTATGTCTATGTGAAAGAATCATTGTATTTACTGAAGTCATATATTTATATATATATATTTAATAAATTTATTTTAAGACTGGACCACATTAATAGAGCATTTGATGGCAATCTACAAAAATCTCCAGTATATCTAGAGTGCCGATCGATCTTTGACAGGCATGCTTCGAGAAAATAAAAGGAAAACACGAGAGCTCTTTATTCATAATCATTTTTCAATTCAATAGATTCTGGCATTAAAAAAAAAAAAACATAGTCATTATATGGTACTTCCCAGACATGGTAAAATGCATTTTTACAAATTTGAGTTCATTTTTAGAAATCATTACAGATGTAATTCTTGAAGAATAGCCTTGCAAACTTCAGCCTCCACATCGTTTACAGATTGAGAATTTTGTAAAAAAAAAACTCTATACTTATGCCCAGAATTGTTCATGTTGATGTTTCTAGGCCCAATTTTAACCATATATTCTATCTGACAAGTGCCAATAATCTGAATTGACTATATTTAGATTCGTCCTAAAGTCTGTGTTAAAATTAGATTAATCTGTCCTTAGATGAATAACATCGAAATAAATATCACAAGCAATAAAATCATGAAATATATTGTAAATTGGGCAACGCTGGAGAGGATAAAAGAATAATAAAAGAAACAATCAAGGGAGAAAACCAAAGGAAAAAGAAATAAAAAAAATGTACATATGAGGATCGAAACAAGAAAGTTAAGAATCAAAACAAACATTAGCAATTATTCATAAATTAATGGATAGATAGATAATGTAGAAATACATACTGCAGTTAGCACCGTGATTTTTCGGCATATAAAACGCACATATGTATACGACACACCATTTTGTTGAGGATGAACTTTTAGCTAAAAAAAAAACAAACAAAACCTGCGGTTATATTTGAATGATTTTTAGTGAGAAATAGCCAATCTGATACGTTAAATATTAATATATACAGACTTTTCATTTTATGTGTGAGGAGATGATGAGTGTAAGTGGATACGCTATAAACGTTGCGTTTCGCCCAAAGTTTGTTGACTTCAGAAGAAGAGTGAAAGGCGAAACTTTGTGTAAAGGTAATGCATTGAGATTTTCGAGGATAATATGTACCATAAACAGAATTATCTTTTCAAATCTGACGATAAGGAAAAAGAAATACATTTTTGTTTGTTTATTTGCCAATTATTTATATATATATATATATATATATATATATATATATATATATATATATATATATATATATATCTCCTGATGACACATCGCTAGACGATTGATTTTAGCATGAAAAAGACTGTAGCATCTGGGTCCTGACTTCAATGTCCACTTTTATATTTATATGCGATCTATCACTGATATTGAGTACATTAGCTCATAAAGATGACATACCTTAAAATATATTTTTTATCAAATATATATATATATATATATATGTGTGTGTGTGTGTGCGTGGGTGTGGTGTGTTTGTTGCACCCGTTGATGTCTGTTAAAGTTTACTGATACCCGAAATTGTTTTCATTTATTATACATGCATGCATATATATATATATATATATATATATGTGTGTGTGTGTGTGTGTGTGTGTGTGTACGAGTGGATTCCTGTAATGTATAAGTGTAAGAGATATATGAAAAAATACCGGTGAAGCAGACATTGGAAAATTACAAAAAATAACGGTCCCATTTCAAGAAAAACCCTAGGGCATATACAAAGTCACCTGAAGAGTTTTACACATAAATGATAGAGTCATAAATCCGTATCACCTTTGCATATGGTCCATTCGTGTTGAATTTTCGAATAATTACTTATTCTCACAAAACACATACACGGGCATATATTTAATTCCCAGCTAGATACTATTTTATCAAACCAATTCTCTATCTGTTTATTTCTCTTATATATATATATATATATATATATATATATATATATATATATATGTGTGTGTGTGTGTGTCATTGTGAGTGTGTGTGTGAGTGTGTAATTCAGTCAGACTAACGCATCCATATAGAAACTGAAAATACGTATACGAATCTGCAAGAATATCCAAAAGATACTGACTAGAATGAGTATATATATATATATATATATATATATATATATATATATATATATATATATATATATAAACAATTGGTTTATTGAAATAGCACATACCTGCGAGCTAAAAAAGGTATTGAACCCTACTATTAGTGGAGGTAGTTCGCTTCGTTTTGTGTCACCCTATCTTAGGTCTCCGTTGCAATTAGACATTATATTTTTCTCTCGTCTCTTTCCAAAGTTGATTTTGCCTGGAAGATACAAGACATCTTCTTTTTCTGTCGTCCCACTTCCGGTGGCCATTCGTTGAAAGACCGTCTTTTGAGATACCCAGTTATAGACATTCAAACCTCGACGATTATTTTGGGAGAAATGGATGTGATAAGACGTGGCACGCTGTAAAAATCTATCTATCTACAGGGAGTATGTTTGTCAGGGATTTCATTTATATGTAACTTCATGTGCATTGACACGTAAACACGCACACCCTCTGTTAAACACACACACATACATACATACATACATACATACATACATACATACATACATACATACATATGTATGCATATATGAGGGTGATGAAACGTTCTCGGCCTGACCAAGTATAATTTTTTTCCCAAACTGTTATTTTTTGCCATTTAGTCAGATTTGTGTAAGTCGGTCGGGCTAGAGGAATTTTCGATATTCCATTGTAACGAGAAACACAGAAGAAAGATGGAGAGAATACGAAGCAGTGAGAAAGGATGGGAAAGGAAGCGGTGGATCATGGGTTGACTATAACTAAGTTAGAAGTCACAGAATATATAGAAGTAAAAAAAGCAGAACAAAAAACAGGAGTAAAAGGACTAGAAGAAAATAATAAAAAACCTATGAAGAATTGTCGATAAAAGATAAATGATAAAAATAATACGAAAACAAAGTATATGTACATCGGGAGCAGTGATTCGTCTCAGTAAGAACACATTTTAAAGCAATAAAAAGCGATTAAGAGTTTAAGGGAGAGAAAATGAAACGTTAGGTGTTAGGTGAAGATAGAAAGAAAATCAAACGGATGGAAGTGAATGATAAAAAAATAATAGAGAATTAAGTAAGTAACAAACAAAAATGAAACAAAGAATAAAAATAATATTAAAACAAAGAAAATAAGATTTCGGACAATATGCCAAAAAAAAAGAAAAAGAAAAGAGAATCAAATAAGAAATAATATATATGAAATCTAAGTAATAATATCAAAGATCTATACCCTTAAAAAGCGGGAAAATAGTGCGTCAGCGTGCACTAGAAAATGGACAAAAACGGAGATAATTTCTTTTGTATGTATGTATGTATATATAGCTGGCTACTCGTAT